TTTGCTGAATAAAACTTACTGAAAACGAATATACTTGGAAATTTCTGGTGTAAACTACTGGTTTCTTAAAAGGTGGTTGGTTTGTCTTGCAGAAGTGGAAATGGACAGGCTGTTGAGCGAAAGCCTAGTAACTAATTTTGAGGCCTCTTCTAGAAATATTTGTTGAGTCGAGGTTTCCCCACCTCTCTCGGGTCAAGTCTGATGCTCACAGAATAGTTTTGACTGTTGATTCCTACAGTAGGTGAAGTTTTGAGCCGAGATGGCTGGGTACAGCTGCTCAGTCAGGAGGTGATTATGAGGACAGGGTGGCAAGGGAACGTTTCCTGTGCTTCAGAAAGGTCTGGTCTGGCTCTGGTTCTTAGATAAAATGTCTTCATTTGGAAGTCGTCGTGAATGAGGTGGGAATTACTTTTTTTCTTAACTGCAATATGAATTATGTCCAGAGACAACTGCTGTTTGTTGTTTATATCCAAGGAAGAGACTCGCAGACTGTACACGGGCTCGCAGTGGTCCGTAAGATAGTATTTTGTGGTTTGTTTCCTGTGACTTGATATTTATGCCTGTACCTTCAAGTTTGTCCCTGCCTCTCCTGGCCAGAAAGAATTTTGATACCCAAACTATTTACAACATGTTTTCCTAAAACCTCTGCCTGCAGCGCTTTTTAATTCACTCCTGGTTCAGAGGTGCCAGCGCTGTTAGTGAAGAGGTGTGAACTGGTGAAGTATTAAGTGTTCATGGGCCTATAAACACCGGCAGTGCCCTGCTGGTTTCAGAAATTTAACTTTACCTTCAGTCAGCTGTTGTTCCTTTGAAAATGCATTTAATGCTGGCCCATGCCAAAAGAGCGATTCGGCATTTGAAGGTGGAAGAACACATGGCAGGTTCTACGGCACACTTCTTGGGGTACATTTCAGTGACTTTTTGTGTGCTTCCTAAGCAGGACAAGTGGCAAGTTTTTCCTTACTGGTAGTTTTTGCAAAAGACAGTGATGGATATTACCTGTTTATTCCCATTATTACTTGCTGCAGCAGAAAAAGGACCAGTGATGTCATTTGATGCCAGGTATTTGATGGTTGATTGTCGTATTGAGCTAGGGGTATGCTGGAGTTTAACGTCTTTAACTGCATTAAACTGCCTTGCAAAGCATCTGTAGAAAGCTTTGACATACTAGACTGAAAGTATTTTCCGAAAATCTTTAAAATCTAGAACCTTTGGGCCATTTTAAGAGCATAACAAATGACGCGCTGGCATGCAGCAATTCTATTAGCACGTTGTCATAACTTTTATTACCACCTGCCTATCCAAGCCATCTGGGAGGAAAGGATATAAGATATAAAAGTGACAGTTACTCAGAGGAAATTAAATAGTCCTGTGTATCTCAAGCTCATATATTTGTCCTGCCTTTAGACCACAGAAGCTTTCTAAAACTTCTTTGCATATGTAAGATGGAGGTAATATTTAGGTACACCTTAAAATCCTGTTGCAATACAGAAAGTAGCTGTTAAAGATTCAATTTTTGCATCACACGATTATCTCTTTCCTTCCCCAATTATGGTTGATGGGTACAGTCTTTTGGAGTTTGCTTCTTGGAGACCAGTGAAAGGTACAGGAATTCAGGATTAACTTCTGCCCTCCATCCAGGAAGCCCTTCCACTCCTCTGTGTTCCAGCAGGCTTGATGAATGTGCCATTGTAACATAAACAGTTGTTGTTGTCTCCTCTTTCCAATCCCTCATTCTCATGCCATAAAGGGAGGTGTTGCCACTAAATTTACCGATTTGTTTTTGAGAAGGACCCACTGGAGTCTTTTACTGTGTAATTACCTTTCCTGTTAAGCCACATCTCTAATGTGTGTGTAGAGATACTTAATTGCTTCAGTTTACCTGGAAGTAGAAGTTGTCTTACAGAAAACTGCTTATTGTTGATAAATACCTTATGTGGAAATTGGTTCCTTATCCGAACTGTTCTGGGATCTGTTCCTTGTAATTACTCTGGAGCCAGGCAAGAACCGCACTGCAGCCTCACGGAGCACCGGGAGGATGCTGGTGGACGCTGCTGCTGCCGCCCCGGCCATTCCTCGCCTGGAGCTTTAGGGTGTCCCGCAGCGACGGGCTGTGCCCAAAACCCCTGTTGGGGGGGTGGTTGTGGCTTGAGGTTTAATTCACACCTCTGTGCTGGCCAGGTATATGGGGAGAGGTATGGAGGGCCATAGTGTCGTCGTTTCAGAGATTTCAAAAGCTATTTTAAGCTAGGTTATTTTCCCGTCTTTTCTTCACCTCTCTAATGCTTCTTAAACGAAAGTTGCATTAGTTCTCACTCTGCATAAGGAAATATTTTAAAAGAGACCTGAATGCTTCTGTGTTGCAAGTAGCTTGAGTAAAAAGATGTTAGCTAAAAACTAGAATCAGTGAAACTAACTACAGTTTTAACAAAAAAAAAAAAAAGGTAATTTCACATACCACTCTTGTGTTTTATTTATTCGTTGTGCTTTCTTCTGGTTGAACCTTTTCATTAGGCTTAGCATCTTGCTGCTGGGTGTGCAGACAGGTTGCCATCAGCGAGGAGGTGAGCTAAGAAACTTCATCCTTTCCCTGGCTGCTTATTATCCTCTCAGGAGTTTGTGTCCCTGTCGTTTGTGCCTGTGCTATAAAACAGATCCCTAGAACAATGTAGATTAAAAATAGCTGTGAACAGAACAAATGTAACAGCCTGGGTGGAGTTGAGCAGTGCTGCTGCGAACCCCGAGGGGAAGGAAGAAACTTGGGTCTCTCCTGCCCGTGGACTGAAACCAGCAGAAAGGCATCCCTTCCCCAGCTGGGTGGGGACGGGGGGGCTTCTGGCTGCTTGTGCTGGAATTTCAGGTTTTATCTGTCCCCCAAAGACTTGGGCCTGCAGACAGTGAATGAAGCGATGATGTCCTGGGAGGCGAGACTGAATGTTGCCCATGGAAGGGCAGTTAGCTAAGTATTCAAAACTAGTGTCTGCTAATTTTGGCTTAATTTGAATGACACAGAGTGGTTTAATTCAATTTCTTTGGAGGAATTGTGGTAATTTTAAGTTTAATGTAATAAAGCCTGCAGCAAGTACCTGAAGTGCATATTGATGTCCCTTTCTTTTTAAAGTGTTCATTTTTAAATCAACACTTCAATTTTTTCTTTTTCCTCATTCCGCATGCACAGCACAAATTGCAAATTTAAGAAGTTTGTAAAGCAGTTTGATCGGAGAGCACTCGGTTTTACATTAGCGCGAGTTGTCTGCAGTTCAGATTTTACAGAGTTAGTTGTTTGCCCCTGAGCTTTGCTCTGGGAAAACTTCCATCGTGTGTGCATCTCTGCAGGGTTCAGTACTTCTTAGCTCCTGGTAGCCAGTATCTCTTTTTCAGTGTTTACATGAGCTCACTTGGGCTTTTTTAAAGGAAATTAAACCTGGAAAAAACCCCACTCCTGTTTCACTATTAGATGATGCCTGTGTAGCAGTATTTCCAGGTCCCTTCTGAAGATGCACGGAAGTCAAAGCCCGAGTACGCAGCCGTGAACTGGAGCGGAGGCTGATGCGAGCTTGCTTGGGAGAGGTCTGGTCTGCAGCTGGCGCCTGCGCTCCACTCCAGACCTGCCCTGCAACTGCACTCAAAACTCCAGATTATGTTGATAGCAGTTTGGAGGGACTTATGTGCATTTATGTTTATGTTCTTACTGTGAATATTCTCTTGTTGCTTTGAGGTGTGGGATTTTTAGGTACGTATTCTCTATGCTTTCCACCATTTCCTTTCAACAACTAACGACTTGGCTTTCCTCAAGAGCATGAGCCTGCGCTTTACCTTTCTCCCCCAATGAACCTCAGCGTCAGCCTTTGTATTTAAAGCAATTCGTATCACAAGATAACAATTTTAAGTCTTTTACTCACCCTTTTTTTTTTTTTTTAATCCTTTTGAGGACAAAACTAACAGCAATGGTGTTCTTGTGGTTCACGGGCTGTCCTGCTCAGTAAGAGGAAGGCAGATAAATACCACCTGTGAAACAGAAAGCGTTTAGCAGAAGGCTAAACTGAAAAGCATGTGATGCTTTTATATCTGCCAAAGTCATGAATCCTGGTTTCTGAGCTCATCTTTGAAGGCGCTTTGTGTATCTGCCTTAGGGATCAGGACTCAGGAGTCAGAGATGGGTTGATTATTCTATTCTGTTTCTGGAAACTAGATGCCTGTTTTATGGGTTGTGCCTGTGTATTCATTCAGGTGTCTTGCAGTGGTTTTAACCCCATATGTTCCTGCAGATGACAATTTGACTTGGCACTTAGAAGTTGTGAACTTCACTAGCATATAAAGGCAATGAGAATTTCCCTCTGGCCAAAGGGATTCGGTTTGAAGTAGAGAAATCGTTACCAACACCTTCCCTAATAGTAAGGCTTCAGGAGAAGGTTTAAGCTATAGGAAGTTATTCTGTTGATGTTACCGGAGTCACTCTGAACCTAGGGGTTTGTTTTGCTCTTGAGTTTGGGTTGCATGTTGCTACCTGTAGCTTTTTCAGATTTAAGAGCTTCATTTGTCACATCTGATCTCTAATAGTCTGAGACTCAAAATGAAAATAGGGAGTATGTAGTGAGTTGAAATGGTGGCCTCAGGGTAAAGTAGTAAATCCCAAGTCAAGTGGGGAGTCTCCTGTTTGAGTCTTGGACTCCTTAAAGGAAATTGTATGCTGGGCTTATTCCTATAAGGAGCTGCATATTGAAAGAATGAGTGGAGGTGGTATATCCCCTCTTCAGAAAACATGTGGTAACACTTTAAAACGTTTAAATGTAACATCGTATTTTGAAGGTGTAAGGGGGGAGGGAGAAAGCATGATGGCTTTCACTTGTGTCCCATGAGATTTAACAACACTCCTGAAGTCTTTTTTTCCTTCGTTCTTAGTTTTGTTTTATTTCTCTTTTTGGGGACTGACAGGGTGAAGATCAATTATAAATTTCTTCTGCTGAGTTGTGAAATTCTGTTTAATCTTCAAACTGGCGATGTCAAGGGTGCCGAGTCCCCCTCCTCCGGCAGAAATGTCGAGTGGACCTGTAGCAGAGAGCTGGTGCTACACTCAAGTAAGTCCACACTGTGCTGAGATACTCTTGACGTAACGCAATTAGAACCTGTGGTAAGAGATTTATTCAAAACAAGTTTAGAGTCTGGATTTTCAGATGATGTCATGTTTGCTAACAGTGAGCATTCACCAAGGCAGCAGCAGAATGTTGCCCTCTGCCTTTGGCGGAACTTTGGAGGAGGCAGCTGGAGAAGTTGGAGTGGTCCAGCTCCACTGCCAGCCATTTCCAGACTCTGTTGTCTTGTGCTTGGGGGTTATTTGTCACGCAAGTGACTCAGTAAAACTTGCAGGTTTTCAGTTTTGCCTTTAAGATGGCCAGGGTGAATGGGCATGACCCTAAACCACCTATTGTCCTCTGTTTTAAGATCAAGGTGGTGAAGTTTTCCTACATGTGGACCATAAACAACTTTAGCTTCTGCCGAGAAGAAATGGGTGAGGTCATCAAAAGCTCAACCTTTTCATCGGGAGCCAATGATAAACTCAAATGGTAAGAAATTGAGCAGAGAGGTTCACCCTGTCTGTACGACTGTGTGAAAGAATTTGGGCTTCTATAACAGGAAATATATTTAAAAAATACTTGTACTGCACATGGGTTCTTGCTTCCTTGGATGTACAACATATGCACAGGGAGAAAGTACCGTTGCTTCAGCACAGTGTTTGGACACACAAAACAAATGTGAGGATCTGGCTGTTTGCAGTGTTTCTCTGATAATGGAAAACATCAGAAGTAATAGAAGCCATAGCTGGAAGGGAGACTACATCCTGCCTTGAAGCAGACATGCTGTGGAGGATTATTAATGTCTTAAGTTGGGGGTTTTGGGCTGATGTTTATCTTAACAAGTTCTTATAAGCCAATGAGAGTCCACAGCCAGTGTATTCAAGCTCTATTTCAGCCTCCCAGTTTCAGTCCCTAATACTCCACGCTGGTAAAAAGATAACTTCTGCCTGCGCTCTAAATCCTGCAGTGTAAGACTATAGCTACTGTATTACCTTTCTCTTTACGGCAGCTTTTTGTGAATTCAGAGACTTAACATTGTTACTTCGATCATCTCTGTGTTCTATAACTCCTTCTGCCCAGGAGTTTCTGCTTCTTAAAGATGACATTATTTTTACTCTTCTCCTTTCCTTCAAAACCTTTCTTCCCAGAGTTCTCAAGTAATTCCCAGTAACTCAGAGTAGGCTTTGGTCACAATGTGTATCTACTGCGAGTCGTCTCTGACCTAGTATATCCATGGACACCTGGTTCCTTATTTTATCCCTTGTTGGTGATGTTAAGTGTTTTAGCATTTTTATTTAAACATCCTTAGTATAGATTGCAGCGAATTACCACTACATAATTTAGTGTGTGTGTGTGATACAATTTGTGTTCCCTTCCTTTGGGTGGCAGACCTGTGCTTTCCTTGGACTGCTTTTTGTTATTAAATTACTTGCCTTTATAACCTTTGCTAGTCAGATCTCATTCTAATGTCTAGATCTTTCTGATTTTTTTTGTCCTTGTGTGTTTGAGCTGTTAGTCATTTGGCCTAGTTTTTGCTTCTTGTTAGATTCTGTGTCAAGTTTCAGGTCATGGAAGTGCTTATGAATTAGCCTCTTCCTGCACTTACTACCTTTTCTTCACACAGGAGTATTCTTCTCTTTTTGCCCTAGTATTATGTTTTTGAGAAACTACCAGCCTTCCAGAAATCCATTTTTCCTTTCAGTTGCTTCCTACTGGAAGGAATTTTACCTACCATTTCTCTGGATTTGTTGCACTTCCTCGAATCCGTTGCCTCCATTCTACTACTTCTTTCAGGTTCCTTTTGTGAAAGCTGACATCCAGGGTGCTTTTCAGTAATTTAAACCATACCCCGCTCCTTTTTTCCCCTGTGGTTTTTTTTTTTAATTGGTTTGCCCATAGTTACTGCCTGTATATTATTATCTGTCTCAGAGATGTGGCATGAGGCTGACTGTAACACGCAGTTCCACTCTATTTACCTAGCTGTAATTTCCTTGTGCTTCAGTGGCTGTTAAACAGAACTTGTTTGCTGTACATTTTATTGTGAAAATTCTACAATGCCCTTTCTTTGAAAGCTATGAATGACCTGCCAAAAACTGTTCCTGACATCTCATTCAGATGCCTGCTTCTACAGGTGTTTACGTGTGAACCCTAAAGGCTTGGATGAAGAAAGTAAAGATTATCTATCCCTCTATCTGTTGCTGGTGAGCTGTCCAAAAAGTGAAGTTCGAGCAAAGTTCAAATTCTCCATCCTGAATGCTAAAGGGGAAGAAACAAAAGCAATGGGTGTGTAAAAACTCTTTCTGTCTGATGGGGTCAGTTGTTTGTCTTTTGCTGTTTGATCAAGCGAGTCACTCAGCTGATGTTTAAAGCACCGTATCTTTCTTCCAGAGAGCCAGCGAGCATATCGATTTGTACAAGGCAAGGACTGGGGGTTCAAAAAATTTATTAGAAGAGACTTTCTTTTGGATGAGGCCAATGGACTTCTTCCAGATGACAAACTCACTCTTTTCTGTGAGGTAAGTCTTCCTGTGCAGCTGAAAGAATAGCAGTTCCATTAGCTTAAGGTAGATGTGACCTTATTTTTCATCATTGCTTTTAAGGAGTCAGAGGTATCAGGAGAAATACTGGATGTTTATATGGCGCTTAGATTTTATTTGTGCGTGTGTGTGTGCGCGCGCGCGCCTGTGCGGCTGGTGGCTTTTTCTCCGTGTGATTCATCGCATTTCACTTCCATTTATTTTTTGTTTCTGTATATTTGTCTTTTACCTGTGATGATGATAGGAATTAAGCATGTTTGATTATCATTTCACTTCTGGTTTAGTGTTATCATCCATCTGTTTGTACTACTTAATTTGAAACTCACTGGGGGTAATAACCAACACTAGCTCTGTAGTGGAAACTGGCCCGCCTATTGCTTGCCTACTGAATAAAGAGTTTTCTTTATTTTCCTAAGTGTGTCTATACAGCCAACAAAAAGAAAAATGTAAGAAAAAGGAATTTTACAGTAACCACAATTTTCTGTTCATTGTGTTTGTATTTTTCTACAACTGCTTACAAAATTATTATTTCACTAATACTAATTTCAGACAAAGATGCAGACAGTTATTTCTAAAACTAGAGATTTAAGTTTAGAAACCTGAATGAGCAAATCTAAACTCTCTAATTTAGTGTCTTCAGAGCTTCTGCTGTCCTATTCCCATTGTCTTTTTAACTGCAGCATACCTCCTGTAGCTGTGATTTTTGCCAGAAGACAGGTAGAACGAGTTGTTCTCTCTTTGGATCTCCTGCAGTGTTTTTTATGGGAGTCTTTTCTTTTGCTGTGTGTGTTTTCAGCAGTGAAAGAAATGCTTCAGTCAAAGTTGTTTGACAACTGGGGGGGGTGTTTTTGGGGAGGGGGTTCAGTTTTGTTTGGCCATCATAAGCACACACATATTTAAATTAACAAAACATCTCCTAAAGCATGTGTATTCAATCAGTAGTAAAAATTATTGCTGTCATGGAGGGAGCCCTTCTTTTAACACTTGCAGCAATATGGGAGGGGAAGGCGGCAGCGTCTTGGATGACACTTCTGTAGGTCTGGCAATGACTCTTTCCTTCATGACAAAAGAGCCGGAAAACTTACAATTGTGGAGTGAAACTCAAAAATTAGTGTCTGAGAAGGGAATTTGCGAGGTGCGATGTAGATAAACCTGAGATCCACCAGTAGTCTTGGCAGCTAGTGCTAACTCAAGTCACTCTACGCTTTACTGAATTACTCACTTTAAAAGCTTCAGCTCAGTGGTTTTGTTTGTTCTAGATGAAGAGACAACTTGCTGCCGGCCTCACCTGGCCTTGATATCTTCTGTTCTCTCTTTCAGTTTGTTCTACAGTCTAGCATGTAAGAAATCTGAAGTTTAGTGATATCAGAGGGGAAAGTTTTGCTGTCGGGAAACAGTTTGGCGAGAACTCTTCAATAGCTTGGCTTTGGGTCGTGTGGCCATCCATCCCTTTTTTCTTTTTCTTTTTCTTCACTGAGCTTATAAGTAATTCTCTTAGCATGTACACTGGTGTGCCATATGCTCTCCTAATGCTTCCCTGCTGGCCACAGGTGCCAAGTGATGCTGCTCACATCTGTACTTTCAGCAAGCATGTTTTGTATTGTAGAAACTCTCCAAGGAGTTAGCAATACTGGATGTTGAGATGCTTGTTATGGGGGGATAATATTGGAGTTTTCTGTAGACCAGAGGGTTGCTGAGTGTCTCTGCTGCACCTTCTCATTGCTTTATTAAAGTTAAAAGGAAAAAGCCTTTTGCTCTCTGCTCATGTGTCCGGTGCTGAACACAGATAATATCTTGCTGAAAATGCTGTTAAGGTAGAGAATGATGTTCCTTGTCAAGCGTTTCAAATCTGACCTCATTTAGTTGTCAGTTTGGGGAATTTTCAACGTCTGTTTTGCAGGTGAGGTTGATTTGTTCATATCCCAACTGCGTTACTTTTTGCTGTTTAAATTACATTCCGGCGTCATAGGTAAATATCATTCCAGTAAATCTTGAAAAAGAATGATGTTCCTAAAGTTATGGTAATAGCTCTCTTCTGAGCTGGGTAGCATTGGTTCCCTTGCTAAGGTGTTGAAAATCGCTTAAGCAAAACCTTATCTATTTTGACCTCTAAGGCTGGTCAGCACTTGGAATCCACCAGTCTAAACTCCTTATGTAAAAAGCCATGTAATAGATTTTCATGCCGGTAACTGAGTTTCTTTCACATATGAAGAGGATTTGTTTGTTGATTTGAGACACAGTTCGCAAGTTGGTTTTGGCTGGTCTGTAATCAGTATTGGACTCCAGCAAGGGATCTACGTCTTAAAATTCCTTTTTAATTACTCTGATGGGTTTTCATCCATCCTTGAGTCCATGTTACTGGTCTAGATGTTACAGGGCAAAAAGATGATGTAGCTGTCAAATTCATGACCAAGAATATTAGCTTCCTCACGTTTGCTCTGGCTAATCATTAGCGTCCTTTGGCAAGCAGCATCTGATACTTGTTTGGTTTTGAGTGTTGTAGTTTACAGAAGATGTGTCTGCCCTCAGAAACCCACTGGAGGTTTCTCAAGAGTTGGGGTATGTGCTGTCCGCAGGTTTTTTTCCTTAGAAGATGCTTCTGTCGTCTCTCGCTTCATAATTTACTTCTCCTTTTACATAACTGTGAAGCTTCTTTTTCTGTCCATTGTTCTTCTTTGGCCATTGGTTATTAATAGAACTGAAATTTAACTTGGACTTGACAGCAAATACAGGAAACAGTCTCACGCATGCTTCCCTGTCAATCATCATCTTTTATTCTTTGTTATAGCGGGGTAGTATTAGTCACTCTGATCTTTTCTAATTGGAGTCTGCTGTAGGAGGCTATGATTTACTGAGTGTTTAACAATAATGGTTTGGTGCTGAACAGGCTCTTAACGGTTCCCTTTGTGTAGGATATTCATCAGCCAGTACGGCTATGTATGGTCCCTGCCTAACACCCTATGCTTTAGAGCAGGTGATAAGGAATCTGTCTGCCTTCCCCCAGTCTTCCTAATTACTTGACATAAAGCTGCTTTTTAAAACTTAACGTTTAGGGGTTTTTTAATTTTATTTTGTAATGTGATGGAAGCGTTGAACTGTCTTAAGAAATTTAGAACCAGAAGCAGCAAGATGTTTGGGGGTTGGGACACTGCCCTTGCATACATGTGTGGATGCAGTGCTCAGTTATAGAAGCTTTCTGTATACTTCATTTTCATTTGTACTGCTGTCTGTATTGCATTATTGATTGGGGAGGGTTTCAGAGTGTTGATAGAAGGAAAAAACTAGGTCAGGTATGATGGCTGTAAAAGCAGAAAAATAAGGTTCCACTTCCTTAGGAAGCCATCTAATAAAGTAATGATTAAATCGCATAGAAGTGCCTTTACTTTGGGGTCAAAAAGAAAATCTGCTGGTGTGATTTAGGACTTGGGATAGACCCTCTGGAGGAGTAGAGAACGGGGTTAAGGCAGGGTAGAAAGGATGCCTTAAAAATGTAGACATATTTAGTCATACAGTGATTCTGCTTGAGAGGTGTGGGTTTTGCTTTGCATTTTCCTTCACCTGCCCTGGAAATAAAAACTTCCTGTAGGGATATTAGTTTTCCAGTGTGGGTTTTTGAGTTTGAGTTTGTTGCTTTCTCTTCCCGTCCAGGTGAGTGTGGTACAGGACTCTGTCAATATCTCCGGCCAGAACACTATGAACATGGTGAAGGTACCAGAGTGCCGCTTGGCAGACGAGTTGGGAGGACTCTGGGAGAACTCGCGCTTCACGGACTGCTGTCTGTGCGTCGCAGGCCAGGAGTTCCAGGCGCACAAAGCCATACTAGCAGGTCGGTATCCCCGGTTAGCGGGATAGGAGGCAGCAACCTGGTGGCAAGTGGGTTTTTTTGAATTGTTGCTTCTTTAAAGGAGACTTCTGCAGCTCTTTTAACAAGACTGTTTTGTGAACTGTTATGGGTAGAGAAGAAATACCTACTCCATTTTTAATTGCCTATCTCCTACTATGGCGAGGATGGTAGGAGGATTCTTCTGTGGCTGTAGCGTATTCCTAAAGCATTTGTAAGGAGAGGTTAGCATGTTTCCTGAGGAATACGTTCTTGTAAAGTCAAGAAGCATACCATACCACCCATGTACTCTTCAGCCTTGGTTGAAAGGACATAATAAATTCTCCTGTACCCAGTTTGAAGCTATGTCGGCCACATTATATTATGTTACAGCCTATACTTCTTTATCAGTTGTACCCAATTTTCCCTGTCTGCTGTAGAATAATTTTTCCTGCATTAAGTAGCAGGACAGTTGTTGAGGTGTTGGCAGGCTACACTTAGCTCCTCCTGAAGAGTAAAAGAGCATCTCTAATTGTGTTTTATTTTCCCCACTGCTATAGCGCGTTCCCCGGTTTTCAGCGCCATGTTTGAACACGAGATGGAGGAGAGTAAAAAGGTAAGTTCCTGAAGGAAGGAGAACTTCTCTGGCTAGGTGAATAGCTCTCCAGTCAACTCTTAGCATCACTGGTCAGATAACTTTCTTAGGTAGTGTTTGTGACTATTGTCACCTTTTAACTGTTTTTCTCATATTAGATGCAGGTCTCTGCTTCAGCTGTCCTGAAGGGAGGAAGAAAGGGATCAAGGAGGCAATTGTTACCTTTGTTACTCTTGGGGAAAGGTTCTGGTGTGGGACAGGGAGAAGTAGAGAATGTGAAATACAACTTAGAATTTTTCTTACTCCATCCGCATCTTTTTTTTTTTTTTTTTTTTTTTTTGCAAGTAGCACATATTCTCGTTTGTAGCAAATTTCTGAATACTGAAAGAGCTTGGGTAGAAGGAAGCCTTAATCCTCTTGTCAGGATCTTAATAAGCTTCATTTTTCTGATACAGAATCGGGTTGAAATCAATGATGTGGAGCCTGAAGTTTTTAAGGAAATGATGTGCTTTATTTACACGGGGAAGGCACCAAATCTTGACAAAATGGCTGATGACTTGCTGGCAGCTGCTGACAAGGTACAGTTGGGATTATGGGTGTTCAGAGAACCAGGAATGACATGCGCCTTGCTTTACACAATGCTCCTGGGAGATTGCTGCAGTAAGCTTTCCATGTCATTGTGGTTGGGCAGCTCCTTTGAATTGGTTGTGGCTTACAGGTAAACCTGGATGTAGTATAAGATACCTATAAGACAGGATATACATATGAGATACCTATAGCTGTATAGATACATATCTTAACAATCAGGAATTTCTGTCTCTACTGCTCATTTTCAAGCATTTTCTTAAAATTTTAGAGGACATCTCTATTCAGCATAATCTAGCATAAGAGCTGGGGGTGAGAAGAAAATTTCAAGGTGGACCTGGAGATATTTTTTTTAGTGTGATTATTACCAAATCTCAAAAGTAGTGTTCTGTCTTGGCAAACAGGGCCTGCTGCTCCTTCTGGTCTGGCTGGTATCAGCAGCTGCAAGAGATGCTCTAAAGCGATGGATAGTGGAGAGTGGGAAGGTCCTGTTGTTTATTTTCTTTTTGCAGTGGCAGTCCCTGCTGTTTATGGAGAGAAGGGGTGCACTGGAGGAAGCCCCGTTGCCTAACCCGTCCGTGGTTTTGCAGGGTCCTTGCCAGGGAGGTGCCGGGGATGGGCTGACTGCAAGGCTGCTGGTAGTCCCCGTGCAGCAGGCACGGCGCCGTGGCCTTGCCAGCCAGGCAGCCGCTGCCTCCTTCCCTTTGCAGCACCAAGGACAGAAGAGAGTGCTCTGCTGGCCAGTGAGCCATATTAACCAGTGAAAATTCGTAATATATAATTTTATTTCCTTTTTCTTTTTTCTCTTAAAAGTGAACTTAGTGCTGGTGAAAGATGCCAGTTTGACAGCACTGGAGACTAAAGTCCTGAATTTATCCATCGAACAGGTTCAGCACGGGTAGCAGCAGTGCAAGATTCTCCACACTGCCCTGCCAATGTGCCTCAACTCTGACCTGGAGGGACCACCTCTAGGGGTGAGAGCGTAGTTCAGTCTCCATGCTTCTTCAGTCCTTGGATTCTCTTGTGGGTGCCAGTCAGGGTGGTGGATTTTAAGGTGTGGATGCATGTAACCTTGTTCCACGCAACCACCACGTGGCCATCGAATCCCCTGTCACTGCAGACCTGGGCTTCATCAAAACCGCTGATTTTAGAGGTGAAATGCTCCATATGCCGTTACTAGGCCACTGCAACTAGAATTAAAATGGGAGATGATGCAAGGAGATTCTTGGCCTGATTATAATCATTGCCACATATTTTATTCAATATTTAAAGAGTATTGACTGAGAGCTTACATACCATCTTTAACTGAGACAAGTGTAAGTAAGAAGCAGTACATTAAGGACAGAGTAGGCTTTAACTTTGAGTTTCCTGGCTTTTAATGTAGGTTTTTTCCTTTTAAGCTCATTGTGTGTCTTTTAAAAGCAGAAATAAAAAATCTTTCATGAAAGCACATAAAACATCTACTATTTACTCAAGAGACTGAAACAGCTTCTTCTGAGTTCCTCCTGTCTCTTGGGAAAAATATGTAATTAGACCAAAATCAAAACAAAGCACGTCTTCTCAACCCAGGAGATACTATTTCAGCCTCTTGGGTAAGTATGCTATTAGGTAGGGTGTTTTTTTTTAAAGTGTAATTAAGGAAGGGGGGAAGGGGAAATCTTGGTACCTGAGAGACCAGAATGGCTACTTTTGCCCAACTATGTAATTAGAAGCTGAGCTATTTGTAGTGAAAATCGAAATAAAAATTGTACATGCATGGAGGAGAATATTCAATTTACAAAAGGAATAATTTTAAGCTTCGTTTGCTGCATTTTAAGCTACTGACAGACAATAATATAAACTAATGGCTTGCCCCTCATTTGAAACTGTTTTAGTTATTGATACAGATTAAGCAAGTAAATTTGATTTGCCTTCTCAGATGTTCTGGTGGGAGAAAACTGTCCTGGTTATGAGTGCCATGCCTCAATTGAAGTAATTATTATCACTGAGTCTTAAGTGAGAAAATGTTTTTATAATCTAAAATTATTCATTTAAATTTAATCATAATGGGATGAAAATCTCAATCAGAATATAAAATCAATTTATAGTAATAGTGCTTATCATATGGCAAGCACTCCCATCATCATGCAGATGAGCTTGTTACTGGCTCTCTGTTCAGGCTGACAGAGCAGTCCTTACAAATCTGCTCTCTTTTCCAAATGCGGCCTCACATACTGAAGAACTTGTATACCATGTCATCTCTAAGTTGTCCAAAAAAGCCTTATAAACAATATGAAGGATACTCTCAAATGCGGTTATCTGTCAGATAAAAAAAGAAATTAACAATCTTAAAGATTTTTATTTTGGAAATGTCACTCAATTTGAAGTCATAACGTGAAGATTTGACTGTGTTTAATCTTTAGGACAGTTTATGTAGTGCTAATGTTAGTACTCATACAAGAACTGCATTAGAATGGACTACTCTCCTAATCCCTATGAAGTGCCATCATGGGATCTAGAATATTCAGAGCTATTCAGAAAAACTCAGTTTGTTTCATCCAAAGAACTGCAAATGCCATAATCAGATCACACATACCGAGATTTTCAGAAGTATCTCAGTCTCAGTTCCTGGCTGTGATATTCTAAAAGACTGAGGTTTGGGTTTCATTTCTTGATAACGAGTGGCTTAAAGTTTTCTGACTATTGACCTTTCTGAAGTCTGCCCAAGACCACTGTGTTGCTTTTGAAAATCTTGGCTGTGTCTGCATGTTTCAGTACTGACTGAAGTGCTGCAGAAAGTAGAGTGTGAAATTTATTTGACAGCACTCTTCTTCTAAGCATGTCCTTTGAATTTCTCAAACGATTGACATGGCCCAACCCTGTGGATCTAAAAAATGTTGAGGCAAATGCACAATCGAACAGTAGAAACTCTTAGGTTGAGAACGTGAAGTTACACTAGAGCTTTTGCCAGGGCGTTACAGACATGCTGTGATGCTTCGTTTCCAGCTGGAGAGCCACAAGAAATCAGGGGCATTTATTTAACATTGTAGTATGAAACTAGTAGCAAATACTTGAGCAAGGCTGATCTTAATGTGCAGGTCATTAATGGCAAAGAAATAGAGTGAAAACTGCCTAAACGTCACTGGAACACCTATGGAGCATTCACTGTTAGATAGGTCTTCCCACTGAACCCAGGTAATACTGTCATGCGGGAATAGATTGAGAATAAAGATTTGGCTTTAGCATTCTGTGCCTTGAAGTAACTGAGATGGGAAGTATTACAGGTGACCTGAAATTCTCATTTCAAAGCATGAACACAGCTCCAGTAAGCCTGTAACACCAGAAGGCCGGGATGAGAGTTATGGTGGGTATGTTTCCTCTCCATTGCTTTCCTCAGGGTGGGCACATCGCGTTTCTCCTTTTTTGCTGGTCGGTACTTCTTTGAGTACAGTTCAGATGCATACAGCAAAGCAAAGAGCTCTGTTCAGCACAGTAGAGTAGTTTGTTACTGAAGAGTGAAGGAGCACAAGTAAGGCTTCACGTCAGGCCTGACGAGGTGTTTTCTTCTTTGTAACTGTGCTTTGGCTTGTATTTTGCAGTACGCTCTAGAACGTCTGAAGGTGATGTGTGAGGATGCACTGTGCAGTAACCTGTCCGTGGAAAATGCAGCCGAGATCCTCATTCTAGCTGACCTGCATAGTGCTGATCAGCTGAAAACTCAAGCAGTGGACTTCATTAACTAGTGAGTTTTACTTTTGTTCCAGGATGCAACAAATCTAGAGGAAAGTATTGTTTATTAGCACTAGGGTTCACAACTTGTGAACTGTCGCACACAGGGGAGATTCTCCTCTATTCTTTCTCTTTTTTAGTTCTCCCATTGTGATGCTTCATTTATCTGGCGTCCCAGAAGCGGCATTGCCCTAAGGGCAGATTAGTCTTGTCCTGCTGGGACTGTTCAGAGCGTACAGCAGGACTGTCTCTGTGAGCTATTACGGATCTCTTCCTAAGATCACAAGAACTTTTAGGTAGTAGAATATGAGGTAGTCCCTGATATTGAGGGACTGTTTGCAACTCGTGATATAACAGACCTTTCAGTACGTGTAAAATGACTACCAACTACTTTGATGTCTGGAAACGTTTTTAGTCCTATTTGTCAGTTAATACAGTTTTTCTCAGTACTTTCTATATTGATTTAAAATACTTCCGTGCTGAGTAGTCAGGGTAGACGAGCATTGTGTTCCTGCTGTCCTCTGCCTGGGCTCATGTATATTTGAGCTTTTCATCCTTAAGCTGAAGGTCTGCCCAGCAGACAGTCGCGCCAGCAGAGCCAAAGCTTGCAACCTCCACAAAAGATACCTCGCGTACATCCAGAGCGATCCTAAAACAGTACACTAAAAATGTCAGGTTTCTCAGGCATGTGGAAAGAATCTATTTAGTTAATCCTTTTTATCCCCGGTTGATAACTTCAGATTTATTCTCTCTTATTTCTAGTCATGCTTCTGACGTCATGGAGACATCAGGCTGGAAGTCTATGGTAGTATCGCATCCGCATTTGGTGGCTGAGGCGTATCGCTCTCTGGCCTCTGCACAGTGTCCCTTTCTGGGACCCCCACGTAAGCGACTGAAGCAATCCTAAAGTCCTGTCTGTCACACCACCCCATGTTTTTTTCTGGAAGCAGCATCAGCTGTTGCTGCTGTAACCTTGACCACCAGGTAGACAGCGAAATCTGTGGAGCTTTTACTCTGTTGTTGGGGGGAAGAGACTGCTTCGTGACACCCAGACTTTTTAAAACAGCACCAAGTTACTTGGGGAGAGGGGGGAGGGTGGGCCTGGGGCTCTGGGGCTGTTCAACCTAATGAATCCCTGTCGCTGCATCGTCTGTGTGTTCCCTTCAACTTGGCTGAGTCAATTAAGTTACAGGGTTCGGTTTAGGTACCGACCCAAGTCGGAATAACCCAGCAGTGGTACTGGGGAAAACAACGTCTCTGCGTCTGGCAGCACAGAACAAATCGTCAGATGCCTGGAGCAAGAGGACATTTTAGCTTTGGAGAGTGTTGGAGGGTTAAAAAGAATTTCCAGTGAGGTTCTGGAAAGAAGGTACCTGATGGGAGCTCCAGTAGTATTTATATCAAAAAAAGAGAATTTTAAGTCCTTCCAGCTGAGCTAAAAACTGGACGTTTGTGTAACTCCTTATTGCCATCCAGCAACAAGAAGATCAGTTTCTCTGTTAGTAGCACTTGTATGTTAATTGCAAAAAAAAAAAAAAAAAAAAAAAAAAAAAAAAAAAAAAAAACCCCCACCTTTTATAAAATGACAGGTTGAAGTGAAAGGGGACAGTGAAAGGCTGTGTGTTCTGGAGGGTGTGAATAGACTGAAGGCAGCCTTTGGCAAGTCTGTATTGGTTTTGAAAGGACTAGAAAATCCTTGATCTGGAGTGTGCTGTCTGACAAGAACAACGGTTACTGTTTTTAGATATTGTGGGAAATGTTTTTGGCATTTTTCCCTGCTTTATTTCCCTCCTCCCCCTTTTTTAAAAAAAAAAAAAAAAGAAATTTTATTGTTCATGAACGCTGCGTCAAAAGTCCCTGTCCTGAGTTGCTAAATGATTCTTAACAACTGTTTGTACCTGACTTGCCGACTGTATAGGAGCCAGTCCTGTTCCTTTCTATTAGTCACTCTTCTTACAGGGAAGAAGTTTCAAAATAGCTGGTAACTTTTTTTTTTCCTTTTTGAAAATATAAATAATTACTATTTTGTACTGTGTGGTATCTGTTGTCTTTTTTTTTGTTGTTTCATTTTTAAGACTTCCCAGTTTAAAACCAGCTCCCAAAAGGTTCGGTTGAGTCTGCTGCCATATACCGATAGTGCCATGCTGTTCCTGGAACTCAGGTGGGATTTATTAAGGAACATTGCACACAAAATTGCAAGGCAAGTCATTCCTCATAGCAGGTATTGCCAAAATACTGGAGAGCATTGGTTTTAATAATAGCTGTGTGAAGCTGACCTGTGGTCCTTTCTTTTACCTGTGCCTGTTTAGACGCGGGAAGGGAGAACAGCATAATCAGCCATCTGGTTTATAACATTAAGGTGCAAGGCAGGACGTCTGGGTAGGATAGACACCATCCATTTATGTCATCATTAGCCCCAAATCTCCAGAGAGGTTAGCTTGAAGTACGCAGTGCCAGGGCAGTGGCAAATTGATCTGACCTTAAGATGGTCAGGTAGGGCGTGTAATGGATTAGGGAGAATAACTGTTTTGTCTAGAAAATAGATTAGGGATCTGTTGTCTCTGATTTTTCATTCTGTGATCATACTTGCTCTCACAGCCTCTTGTCCCTTGTGTGAAGGAGAATTCCATTCGTACGCTCGTGTGTTTAATCTAGCTGCTGTCTATTTTTATCAAATGGTGACTCACGAGAGGGCCCCTGCCCCTTTTTGTGCTCCCCCCCGAGGCTCTCATCATAAACACACAACCGTCTGTATAGTGAAGCCTTCCTTTTACGTGCTTCACAAATTCCCATATTACATCTATTGCTCGAAGGCCACTAATTCCTTCTATATTGGATTTAGCGTGCGTTTCCTTTTAGGTAAGCAAAGCCTTTAGTCATAACGAGATTCTCCCCACTACCCTGTCAGAGCTCAAACCCGGCATTTCGAGCTTATCATTGCAAACGGACGTGAAAAGTTCATTGCCAGGTAATTGCAGAAGTTGTCTGTGTGGCACAGGGATGTCTGATCATGCTGCAGTAACTGCATAGTTTACTGAAACACTCAGACCTGGAGGAGACCCTTTGTCCTTGCCACGTTAGTGACCGGCTGCCCGAGGAGTGTCCCTGCCTCAGCCTTGCCCTGGGAAGCAGCCGTGCCTGGGAGAAGGTAAACGGGTGTGCACGGTGCCTGTCCTCAGCCTTTTGTGGGGAGGTATTTACAGGAAAGCGATACGGATTTGGCAGCCTCCTTCCCCGGAGGATGGGGAGATACCTGCAGGAAAATAATCTGCTCTGGGGCTCGTCCGTCCCAGCCCGTCCTGCGGAGCCAGGCGCAGTTGCAGAATACGCTGCCATGGAAGGTCTGAAATGAGATCCATGAAGGAGGCGACTTGTTCAGATTGTTCCAGTTGCAGGTGAATTAATGATTTATTTGTCAACTTCACTTTTTTTTTGTTTGTTTTTTATTGTAAATGATACAGCTGAAGCCATCTGGTTATAACAACATCAGAGCTAGAGCATACTGTTCATAAACCTCCCACTGACATCCTCCCCTCCCCAGATTTGAAATGTAATTCAAGTTAACTCACAATCTGTGGCATGTGTTGTTACTGCAGAGATGTCCATGCCAGTTGAACAGTTGGAGATTTGAATTCCACAAGGAGATGGCATATTTATCAAAACAATATTTCAGAGAGGCATTTTTACCGGGTCTTCTGAACCGCAGCGTAGCTACCACAGGTCCGGATTCAGAATTTAGGTTGGACCCTGCGCTCGTGCTTTTAATTCCTTCTTTTCCCCCTCCTCCGAGGTGTTACAGAGAGACATTTCATCCCTGTGTGCAGCCTTTCATGTGCTTCCTTCTCCCTATTATCTCCTTGCTCCTGCTTCCTCCGCTCGCTTTTGTGCTGACCTGCGAGGGTTGCAGCCTTCATCTGGCTGTGGGGAGGAGAGGCGGAACGAGGAAGACCTCGGAGAATCCCCTGACCTCCTCGGCAGCGGTGGCATGGATGGGTGGATGCCCGACGCCCAGAAGCAGTCGGCTCTCTCTGAGCATCCGAATACCAAATATTTTTTGCTGGCCAAAAGATTTCTTTCTGGCTGCCCCTTGGGCTTTGTTATTACAGACTCAGATTCTATTGAGGTATTTTTCTTATTGTGTGAGTTTTTCCAGATGAAAGGAAACAGCTTGTCTGCTTATGAGCAGAACAAACAGCAGAGTGGGGAGAGCTGCTGTGCTTTGAAACTCTCTCTGGCTTTGTTCTGGTTCTCAAACTGCTGTTAAGGACACAATACCGTCTCTCTTTTTCTTTTTTTTCTCTTTTTTTTTTTTCTTTTTTTTTTCCCCCCTCCTCTTCCTTGAAGGAGCCAAAGATTTTTTTTTTTTAAGAACTTCATTTCAGAAGGTTTCTCAACTTCCGTGCAATTTATTTTGCAAAAGGCTTTGCTAAAATAATTATCTTGTTCAGTCAGCTTGGGCCATGCAGTTTTTCTTTCTCTCATGACTGCCATTTAACTTGTGTTGCAGAATTGCTTAACTCATTTATTTCTAATGACTTTTTTTGGTTAATCTAATATGAAGACATTTAATTATAGAGGGTGTATTTTTTTTTTTTTCCTGACCTGCTGCCCACTTAGATCTTTGGCTGCAATTCCAGACACATGCTGCAGCAAATTTTGCCTTGGCAGTTCCAGTTTCTTGTGTATGTTACATTTAAAGTTAACTTTAGAACTGCTGGGGGGGGGTACAGCAGGCAAGTGCCAGCTTGAACCACACAGGAAGACAGTGGGCAAAAGAAACTGTGAGACACCAGGAAAAAAATGACAGCCCATGAAATAGTTGGGGAAATAAATTGCAGTGACCTGGAAGGCTTTTGGAAAATACATAAGATAAATAAAGGAGGAGTGGTTTGGCGTAGGAGGTGGCCTTTTAACCCAGCTGAAGTTTGTTGGGCAGAGTGCAGGCAAGAAAAATCAGCTGAGTTTTGGGTTAAGTTTGGGTTTGGATTTTGCGTCTTGCTCCTACTTGATACATTAGACTTTGTCTCTGAGACTGAATTATTAAAATCACTTGAGGAAATGTGTTAATTGATGGGGTAAATTGGGGAGGGATGGAGAGAGGATTGCAATTATTCCATCAAATTACGAAAAATCACAGGCAGAAGAGGTATAAAATGTAGGGCTCCTCTTTGAATAATTGAAAAGCATCAATGGCAAAAAAAAAAAAAATAGTAGTTAATCGAGGTGGTGGATGATAAACGGGATGGGAACTGGAACACTTCCCCCAGCCCTCCAGAAGAGAAATGATGTCCTGTGTTACGCTGGAGTATTTTTTTTCTAATCCGAATGCAGGAACATTACTTTGAGCTCTGCCGTCGGGAAACGGAGCGGGGCTTGAAGAGAAAATCGTTGACTCTTGCCACTGGGGAGCAGTGTTGAGGACAAGAACTCTTCATATGTTTGTACCGAGCTGCTAATGAAGCTTTCTGAGCCTTGAAATAGGCAGAGGTTGCGCATCGAGGAGTAATGGGATGAAAACGAACAAATGAAAACCATTTTCAAACTCTCGTTCCGCTCCTTCTGGAAGGCTCCTGGCAGGCGGGGAGGTTATCCCGGAGCGTTTTGAGTCATTGAAAACCTACTAGAGAAACACTTCGTCACACGGGGATCTTGTTCGGACGCGGGGGAGGTGGGTGCGCTGGTCCTCGATAGTTGATAGCGCGGCGTCCTGGACAGCGGCGTCTGCGTGGATGTCTGCGAACCTGTTCCTCGCTGCCGCCTCCGATGCGGTAGCTGCAGCGCTTTTTATCTGCTTTTTTGTCTTGGCGTGGTGAGATGAAGCGGTGTAAGTGTTCGCTCCTACAATTGTTGCATCTCATAGCTGGGGTGGGTCCGTTTTTCCTGTTCACGCCTACTTGCTTCAGTCTTCACGGTAGGACTGCAAGGTTCTCGTTGCTTTTTTATTTTGCGTTGGGAGAAGAGTTTCCCACTGTTGATTCCGGTTGCTGCATTGCAGTTTGTCTGCATTCCCTTTCTTTCCCGCTAACTTTTTTCACTCCTCTAGGCAGGTGGCGTTGGCAAAATTATTGCTTATTACTGAATTTTTGCCAGACAACAAAACACTCGACAAAAATAGCTCAACAGGATGCTGGGTTGTTAGTCCGTGGCCAGGTTACGGCTCGCGGCCAGCTCCGGCGGCTGCTGGAGGCTCGTCGGGGCTTTCACCCCGCTGCAAGGACGACTGGCTGGC